GAGCTGTCTCAGTCTGGCACGCACGTAATTGAGACAAACTTTGAGACAGTAAAACATTCGTGCGATGCCTCAGGACGGGGGCTGCTGCTGCTGCCGCTGCTGCTGGATGCCAATGAGAAAATTACGACATTTAAACCCGGAGGTTAAATGCACGTGAAATATTAAGTTTAGTTGCATGAGAGCACACTAAATCTTCTGCTTGTGGGCCATTTGTTTGCCGCTGTCCCTCGCCCTCACACTCTGTCCCACTCCGAGTGCGAGGATGTCTGTCTGCGATGAGCAGCTAATTATGGCTTGCTAGTGGCCAAATGGAGCTCCCAACTTGTTCTTATTGCACCAGGCTTGTGGCACGGCACGCAAAGCTTCAGTTGGAGGGCAGCACCATGCACAACATCTTGAGCGTGATAAATTTGCGTGCCAGAAAACGTGCCTCTCTGTAAGCTCTGACCTCAACATTAATCCAGCTCGGGCCAAGCTAAGAGTTGTTCCGGTTGTTTAGTAGTGTAAAATGCTATTTCGCAGGGGCTTCTAAGCTTTAAGCCAAGAGCTAGCTGCCTTAAACCAATGTAAACCCTTTCAATCAGCTCGCTTAGTGCGTATTGGTCACAATCAGTTTTAACGGGCATTGTCACAGCAAAATGCAACGATTGAAAAAGCAGTCGAGTGCACGAGCTGGGAAATTGCACAACGAAAATGCTTTTTGCCTGCCTGCGACAGCTGAGTATTGTGGGCGTGGCGGTGGCTAATTATGTTGCCAATGACAATGGCAACGGTATATGTTACGATTTTGCAAAATAATCAGAAAATGCTCTCAACATTTTACGTAAAACGAAAATGTACGAAATTGCACGGAAAGTGCCGTGCACATCAGCTGCTGGCAGTCCAGAGAGTGAGGGTCCGAATGGGTCATTATGTGGGCGGAACACTCTTGCCGGAGTCTGGTCAAGCGGCTCGACCGAGACGATTGGGACGCCCCGGCAGCGGAAATGCTGTGGTTGCCATGTTGCTGCTTTGTTGCGTTATCTAATTACAAAGGAATTATGCGGCAGCGTCACACAGTTTTTGGTCTGCCAACATTGTTTTGGGCTGTTTCCCCAGTATCAGCAAAATATTATTTTGTTCCCGCAGCTCATTGCATCCGTCCAAGCAGGCTCGAGCCAGCAATACCCTATAGCTAGCTTGAAAAGCTATAATAGACTCACAATAAGGAATTTATAATCGATTTTAGTCGATTAAACAAGTGTGTTTCTTTCTAAATGACCTATATTTAATGAATATCACGACTTCTGAAAGAAATACATTCAAATTGCAGGCAAGGCAAAGCTTTTTTGCCAGTGAAATATTCAGAAAATGCACAAAAAAGAAAATTTTAAAAAAGTGCTAAAAAGAGAGCATGTGCTATATGTACATTTTCGTAGCTTTGACGTACTTTTTTCATATTTGGATAATTGCAACTAGAATGGATTCGCTTTCCAATTAACTCAAGATATTTTCTGAAATGTATTATCCTTGCTGAATGAAATTTCAAATATAGTGCGTGTCATAACACATTTTGCCGTTATATTTTTCCATTAAAATAGTCACAAAATATGCTTTATTTAATTATAGTTTCATAGTTTTAAATATAGAATATAAAAGCCATACAATGTATTTTAAATGACAAATAAGTTTGTAATAAAAAAATTTAAATTAACTCGCATTGATATAATGAGTAAGTTATTATCATGCCTTTTCTGGAGCATCTTTTCTGAACTAAGAGCTGACTAAAGTGGGCTCCTTTTCATAACCAACAAATAAAGAATGTACTTAAAATTGTTAGTTTTCGTATTCAATGCCGAACTCGCAGTTCTATGTGATTTCCTTTTGCACACACGCATATTCCCATGTTGACCCATTGACATAGGTGGAAATATTCAGCGGGCATCCAATTCTTATGTATGTGTTTACTTATGGCTCTGTGTCCCAGCGTGGGGTATGGCCCGCAGACAGTTATGTATAACCGGGCACATATGCGCTAAATACACTCGTGTCTAATAAGTTTTAGCCAAATGTCCAGCGAAGCGGGCATGGACACTGGCGAAAACACATACACACACACACACGAATACATTTGCCTGGCCGGCGGCGGGATAAACAAATGAAGGGTCGTCCATTGGGGTTCACAGCTGCGTAAGCGGCCTATTTGTGGGCGTATGGCGTAAAATTGTCCAACTGCCGGTTGCGACCCGAAAGTCAGTTGGTATAGAAATATATTTGGTTGCTTTCCGGCTACCCATTGGACCTGGCCCCCGGCCCGATGGACGTTTACTAACCGCTCGATTTTAAATTGACAAAATATTTGGCTGTGCCACACGCGGCCGGTTGCTAACTCGAAAATTGAAGTCGCTTGTGTGGCTCTTATGCAGGGTAGGAGCACCCAAAAAAAAAAAAAAAAAAAATACAAAAACAAATTTAATAACCGATGACCGCTTTGAAGTGGACACTCCACACTAATTGCACGTTTGCCTACACTCGCAATAATAAAATATTTGCAACAATTAAGCGAAATTCGTTTGCGCCAACAAAGTGCACAGCAAATTTTCTGTTGTTTTGGAAACTCAAAATTGTGTGCCCTGTTTTATAAAGGTTAGACAGAAAATGGCCGACTAAGAGGGGTGTCCGCCTTATAGGAGTGTACGTTAGTAGAGTTTTCACTGTAGCATGCAATTTATTTTAACGTGGAAGAAACGAACTTGATTCTTTCGAAAGGAATTTTATTCTTTTCATACTCTATTGAATAAAATGCCGGAATCTTTCAGGTATGTTATTATTCTTAAGGTTTCCAAAGGATCGGTCGGAAATAAGGCCTTTGAATCAGATTTTTTTAAATAAGCTACTTATCCTGGCGATTAAATTATAAATGGAAGCATTAATGGAATGCATACAGGGTATGCAATTGTCGTGTGCCTGAGAATCATTCTGGCTTGTGAATCTAGTTCATCCATGCCTTGATTGAATGTTCTGCCTGAAACGACACACTTTCAACACACTGCAAGAAACAGGGTATAAGTGTTGCCGGCCTACGGTAATTTACTAGAAACTTGATAAAAAGTAGGGAAGGCCAATTAACACATGCTAGTCCGAACAAATAGAAAATTATGCAAACTTGCAACGCGTCAAAACAATATGTATAAATATACGGTTACGTGTGAAGCTGTATTCAAAGCTGCCAGCGGCAATTGGCAGGATTGTTTGGTCAACTTTTTAAAAAAGTATGCAGCGCAGTCTCTGCATGCCCGCATTAGGGCATAGCTGCGGAAGGGAGAGGAGATTATGTGAAATTTAATGATAATAAATTAATATTTAAATGTTTTCTTAATTTTAACCAAAATGCGTGTGCTTTACATTGTATATACGGAAAATTTTGACGAAGCTAAGAGTTCGATATTTGTCAGGCGTTCAAAATAAGTCAAATCTGTTTTTGCCATTCGGTTTAGGGATTGCAATGCGATCTAATATACAACAATTGGCTTGGTACGCTTGGGCATGTTGCGTTTGAGCAGGCTCCAGTTGATGCTGGTGGGCACTGGGTTGGTACGCTGCTTCTTTGGCTTCTTTGCCTTGTTGGCCAGCTTGGAGCGCATGGCACGCAAGTTTTGATATTGGCTGGCGCTGCGGACAACCTTGTTGAGCTGTTTGGCCAATTTGGATGACTTCGGCGGTTTTGGCTTGAATTTGCTCTTGAGTACCATCTTGCCGTGACCGATGCGGCTCTTTGTGCCAGTGGTATTCCTGCTCTTTGCCTTGGTCAGGCTCTTGCCCGACTTAGAGGATTTGATCGACTTCTTTGATTTCTGCGATTTGATGGCCTTTAGAGATTTTGTAGATTTCTGTACGTTCACAAGAGCACCGCCCTCAGAACGCATTGATTTGACTTCTTTCGGCTGTGGTTTCTTCACTGAGTACTTCGGCGATGGCGGCACTTGTGTGGAAAAGACGCGTGCAGCCTGTACAATCGAGTCAAAGTTTCCAAAGACTTGCATTATGTTTCTATTCACATACTGTAGATACTTCAGGGACGATTGGCACAGGTTGCACTTTGGATTTTTATCGCAATTGTTACGTATCAGGCTTTCTAAGTACAAAAAGTTCTTGGCCATATTTTCGCAATGTGGGCACTTATTCATGGCGCTGCGATCGTAATTGTTTTCCTTCAGATTGGCAATGTGTTCCTTGAAACCAGGCTTTTGCTCCAAATTTATTTTCGAATTCTGCGGCACCATGTACGAATTTTCGGGTTTTTTATTACCCAAACCAAACATTTTTCGTAAAACAGAAATTTTGTTACCCTTTAAGGGATCGAATATAAATGTGTTCATTTAGTTATTATTCTAATATAAATTATTTTTCACAGCCTACCTGAGCCATTGTATGATCCAACTCTATCAGTGTGTGATGTTTATGTGTATGATGTTTTTTTATAGTCATTGTCAGCATACCCAATGCTGACAGCGACTTCAGAGCCTCCTCCCTTATTTGATGTTTAAAATTGTTACGTTTTGCTACAGACTCTTTAAAGTCTTGTAGTTGCTTTTCGTGATAGATAAAACTTGGCCCGGATAAAGCAGCTTAATGCCCCTCAGTAACTGCTCTCACTCCGCTGGAAATATAATAAAAAAATTTATTTTTAAATACTGCCCTACTTTGTGATTCTCATGAGTTCTAGTGATTCCTTCAGTTTTTCTGTAATCGTTTAATTATGTCGCCGGTTGAAATTCTCTGGCATTTGTTATTATTCACAAAGAAAATAACAATAATAAATTAAATACAGCTAAAAAATTGACAAAATTTCCAATAATAATTAATATATTTTTTTTTGCTTTTGATTATTTTGTAAGTCACATGTATTTTATCGCAGTTGATTGCGTAGCGTAGTTGGCGGAGTGTCGGCTGATTTTGATTTTGAAGTTTTTGTATTATCGAGATATTTTAACCAAACTCTGCGATTTTGCGGCGTACCGATAATTTATGGGCAAGGTATTATAGACATCTGAGTATGGTGGGAGATTAGGCTTATACGTCCCTACTTCTTTTATTATTGGTTTCTTAAACTCGTTTATGTTTGCAAGAACATTCCATTTTAGTCCAATCATACATAAATATAATTTTCTTTGGTTTCCACTCTGTTTCTGGCTCGTTTTACCCCAATTGCCTTGGTCCCAATTAGCGATAATCAGCTTGTAGTGGCAAGATCTTTACTTGTTGTTGTTGAGCTTTTCATTCTGAATTTCATGATTCCAGCTTGTTGCGCTAATTTATTTCATTTTAAGATGTAATCGAGCAAACTTTTTTTGTTGTATTTAATTTTATTTCCTTGGCTAACACATTTTTAACTGACTACTCCGCCCCCGGTTTGGTGGCCAAAATGTTGACCTTGAGCAGGGATTGCCGAAATTATGCAAATTTGGGTCACATATTTTTGCGGCTGTGGCGCAAATGGGCAATCAAGCCTATTACTAAAATAGCTTTATTAAATAGCAATCAGCATTATTATTAGGCATTATTGGGCTTCCGGTTAAATAAATCTGTCCAGTGCAATGCCAACAGTTACGTCAACAATCCAAAGCGGACGACGGCTTGCAATATTTATGTTGGATGTAATATCCAGTTCAAGGGCAAGTTTAACCCGACTTAATGAAATTACAGAAAATACAGAAAGCGGAGCGCTCCACGATTCCCCATTTAGAAATTCTTAAATGACATTTAAATGGCATCTCAAGATTTGGTTTAAAGTTTTTAGGTTTTGCAAATATATACATAAATAATACTATTACTTTATAAATATAATTTATAATTACATAAGGATGTCTGAGCAGATACTATATCCTGCGGCTGGCCAAGTCAACAAGATGTATCCTTAGCAGACTTCTGGTCCTTATCCTTTTTTATTCCATTACACTTCTGGCGAGGTTGACATGGTTTGACCTATTAAGAAACGTCTGGCAACACCATATTTGCTTAACTGTGCACAGCAAAATAATGAATTAAATTAAATAATTAAAAATAGTTGTTTTTTACCCCAAGGATGCGTGCTGCTACCTACTCTTCGCTTACTGCTCCGCAGATACGCCTGAATAAGATGCCCGCCCACTCTCTTGATGTGTCACTGTTGACGGCGTTATATGCAGATGTTTCTAGAGCTGCTGGATGAATGGTATATCTGGCTAATTCCGTCTAAAAATAAAATCGGTTTATAAATTTAATTAATGAATAATAATAATAAGTCTTAGACACGGTCCTAGTTTATTTAAAAAAGGTATTCAAGTCTGAAGTAAATAATTGGAATTATGTTCCACGAAATCACCGTCGATAATTTTATTAAAATAATATATTTAATTTTATCAGGTCTCTAGACTCGGCCTGCGGTAATTAAGTCAGCATCTTTTTATTTAGGTCGCATGCTTACACCTCTATTAAAAATAGAATAATTAGCATGAAACAATGCTATTTATCTGTCTCGTAAATATATATTATTTTAATTTTCATCTCCTTTGGGCCCTGTCTGAAAGTTCCGACTGATGGCAATCTATTTAATCTCATTGACATACAGTAAACGCTGTCGTCTATTGATAATTTGATGAAATTCTTAGACAAATGTTAGCTTTTAAATATTTAAAATGCAATTGTGCTTAATTTTATAAATGTAAATAATATAATTGAGTTTTAATTTGAGTGCGATTAAAAAGTTTATCTTTTCATACCTTTGAAGGCAAACTTTCGGCAAAAATATATGCTCTCGGAATGCGATCAACTTTTATACGAATTGCTTAAATTGAAATTTTTGTTTAGATATTTATTATCTGGCATCATGGCATCATGACATTTATGGCCACAAATCGATGTTGACACAACCATGTAAGCAGTTATTTCAAATTATTGGCCTAAAAGGTTTGACATTTGCTTGCATTCACATTGAGTTTATTCTAACCTTCGAACGCTGTTAGTGCTTCCCTCTTATATCTAAATGCAGCACATCAATAAGACAAGGCTTTATAGCCCACTTCCAGCTACGGCGCCACCCAACCCCAGTTTCCTGCGACACACACAAGTTCGATTTGAAAATATCTTGGGTAAGTCAAGTAGAAGTGCAAAGTGACGATAAACAGAGCAGCTCTCGGAATTTGTACATACAAACATACTCGTACGACCATAAACTTGATTGTCCATAAATGTAGGGGCGTATACGTAATGCCAGGCATTGCATTAAAGCAATGCAGCGCTCTGTGCAGCTCGCCGCCTTGCTGTTCTCTGGGCGTGCCAGGGCCATAAAGTGCCAATGTAATGAATTTATTAAAAGTTCGTTTTGTTAACATGAACAACGAGCCGTGCCGTAGGAGGCGTTAAGCCAGCTCAGCTGTTGTCTTGGGCGTGTGCGCCTGGGATTGGCTTACTTGGCCAAGTTTATATAAAAAGACTTCAATTATTTGTGCCTAGCATGCGACAACTGAAATGTGAGTGTTAATGGATTTGTGCCAAGTTCTCGTCGTTAGCCACGACGCTCACTGATTTATTCGTGGTCAAAATTAGGGCGTCGCAACATTGTTGTTGCTTGCTCAATGCGTTTGACTTTGGCAAATGCCGAGCGGTGGCACAGTTATTCCGAGCCGTTTTTTACCACGATTTGACCCACAAAGGTTGCCGTCCAAGCGGACACTTTTGCTCTAACGACTTCCTGCCACTTTCTGACGTCGACGTCGGCAGCGCAAACAGCTGCACTACAAATACATACAAGCATATAAGTGTAAGCAGCTTCTTACCTAGTTTAATTTGCATGTTGTTGTTGTCGTCGTCGTCGGCGTTGGCGTCTACGTTGACGTTGACGTTGACTTCGCGTCGTACTAGCTTTGTGTATTTATTTTGTTTGCTTTTCGTGCCTTACGTGTTTATGGTCTGCAAACTGGCGCTCGTAGACGAAAGTTAAACTTGCTTTGCCGCTGGCTCCACTTCATTTAACTTGGAGTGGGCGGCACAGAGTTTAACCTGCTCGGCATTTCAATATCAACAGCCGCATGCATAATTTCTTTGCCCGAGCCTATGTAAATTTGTTCGGAAGTGTTTTGGTTGTGTGTGTGTGTGAGTTTTGTTCCAGTTTTAGACTTTGGGCACGGCTGTAAGCAGGTCAACTTCATTTTTCGCGCTGACCGGACCGAGCCATAGCTGCCACAGCTGCTACAACAGCAACAGCAGCAACAACAGCTGCCAGTTGCCCTGCCCCTTGATATGCGAGTGCCGCAAACACAAATTAGCACAACAGCAACAACAACAACGACAGCAACGAGCAACAACGCGGCCATAATTTCTTTTGCAACAATGCCAAGCCCTTGGGCTAAGAGGCGTACACACATATACACATGCACACACATATACACACACACGCCAATTTACTTTGCTTGGTTGCTTTGGATTTGTGTTTTTTGGTTTTTACTGCCTTTGATTTTTTATTATTATTTTGGAGTTGCCGTCGCTGCCAGCGTCGGCAGCGTCAGCCCGCAATCGCTATCGCCGTTTGCGGCATAAAGTTCAAACTGCAAATGTTTTGCGGTCAGTTTGGACTTGATGTTGGCAGGCAACGCGACGTCGTGATGCCTCATCGCACCTGAGAGCTGATGTTGCAGTCGTTGAGCCGTTGGCAAACAAATGCAATCCCAGTCAAATTCAGTTTGTGGCCAACATTTTCGCCTAGCTTTCAACTTTAAGCTGCGCCTCGGTTATCAAATTATTTAGTGGACACGTCGCGTTCAGTTGCACCCAGTAATTTGTGCGCTCATGTGCTTTGGCAATACGATGTACCTGAATTTCTAGCTGTTGTCCAAAAAGAACAAACAACTCATACGTGGAGCAACTAATTGTTTGTAGTAATTGAAGGTCTGCAACTTTTTGGAGAGCAATTGATTAAAAAGCACCGGGGAATCAAAGGAAGGAAAGCGCACAGTAGAACGAAAGTTGAATTCACGAAACTGGTAAGCTTAACTATCACATTGTTACACCCTTGTAAAGGGTATTATAATTCTGTCATTTTCCTTGTAAAATACGCCGATAAAGTCACGTACATCCATTTGATCAAACCATAAACATCGTGTTAAAATATTTGCATTGTTTTAAGTAAGAGTTAGGATACATTGTAATAATTTTTTAATTAACTGTTTAGCAGATTTGTATATCAAGGCTCCTTTGTTTTGATTTCAAAATATTATCTGCATTGCATAAGTTTTCATAAAGACTTTGATGTGAAAACATTTTTTTAAAGGTATCTTCAACAATTTCAGCAGTTACGAGCTTCAATATATGAATTATTTATTTGCAAAACTGTAATCTACATGTCTAAAAGGGTATTTAATCTTCGGCGCGCAGATAATAGCCTTTACTTCTTGTTTTTCGTTTGAACTAAGTTAAGAGATGACTCAGGAAAATTGCCAATAAAGTTCTTTAAAAAATTTTGTAAGAGAGTGAGTTAAGCGCCATCAGCACGCAATCGAAATGTATTTTAAATGTAGGGCATAATGTTTTGACCTATGCATGCATACTTTTTGATCTTTTTTTAAATGAGTGATGGGCCGAGTATAGTATATGACTTAATATTGGGGCCGAGTATATGACTGAATATAAATACATTACGCTTTGTAAGTTAGCAAACATATACAGAATGTGTGTAGAGTTGATAGCTTAATAAAATGGGATTTCCCTGTAAGTTAGGTTATTTGCAAGTGTGGAATGTCAATGTTACGTGTAGATAAGCTATTGGGGTTGCCTTTATGCATGCGATTGCTTAATAAACATGCAATTTGCGATACAAAAAAAACAAATAAAATAAAAGCCTTAAAAATAATATACAAAATTATAATAGTAACTTTAAAAATTATAATAATAAAAATGCTAAAAATTTAAAGTGTAAGATATCCGAATGCTACCTCGAATTTGTTCTTTTAGATTGCTCCAAATGTCTTATATACACATAGATAATTTTAATGAAGGAGTGTACGAAGCATTTGTTTTAGGGAATCGCTTACTATTATATAAATCCACTTTCATTCGACGAATTTGGCTGTATGTATAGTTTCTTTTTCAAAGGATAACGACTAAGTTCACGTTCAAGATATAGAGAAGCTTATACACGATTATTTACACAGTGTTAGTAGCCTTCCCAGCGGTGGGAAGGGGGGGGTGGGGCAAAATACAAGGGCAGCAATTTTCAAACTTTCTTAAATAGCGCATTAAAGTATGCAATACCTACATAACTGGCCGGCGGCTGAAGGCCTTCGAAAAGCGCTTTATGAATTTTATGCTAATAAAATTTACTGCGCACAAAACTTTTGCTAACATATACTTATACAGCATATTTATTGTGGATGCTGCAATTTTTTATGATCGTTTTTTGTGCTCAGTGCGAAGGGCAGCCAACAATAAAAAGCAAACGGTAAACAATTTGAAATTTCTCTCTGGCTGCAGCCCCCATAAGTATGCAACATTTTCTTTTGCAAATTCCCATCAGCATTAAAGCAGGCCGATTTTTGGCCGGAATATGTGCGTGGCTCTCTATGTATAAATTGTGTACATTTTAACTCAATTACACGCGTTTCAGTAAGCGCAGATGGGCCGCATAAAATCTAAAATAATATTATTTGCCACGCATAAATGCAGCCTTCTATGCACATAAAGGTGTTCATGTCTCTGTGCCTGCCTGTGTGTGTGCGTATGTGTTTGTGTAAATGTGTGATTTTTGTAGGACTTTATAAGCATACCCGCACGGAAACGGCCAGCCGCGCATTTTAGCTAAAAGCCTTTTAATGCTCTTAACTATTTTCGATAGCGTTACGCACTATAAACTCGGTACAGATTGAGTGGAGCTTTAGCCTTTGCGGTGTGTGTGTCTGGATTGAAATTCTCAAAGCGCTTTCGAGCACCCACTTTGCGAGTGCACCTTAAAGTTAATGACACAAAGCGGACCAGCCCTGCAGCCATCGGCTGCGGCTTCCTTCAGTGAAACTCTTGCGAGAAGTTTAATCAAATTTATATTAATCTGCAGTAGGTGCGCATTCGGCGGTTGCCTTTAGCGAATGAGCTAATTAATTATGCAGTCATTTAATGACAAGGGCGGCGGTAAAATTTAAAGGAGCATAAAGAGCAAAAGGGTGCCGTGTCGAGCATTCAGCTTGCCCTTGCCGCTTAGGTCAGCTGGTTCAATTGTCTCATTAAAGCAATTAAGTGAAGTCAACACTTGCTCTGCAATTGATTTGGGAATTGCAACAGCGCAGCGTAATCGGCACCCCCATCTGGATGTATATGGTATGCTCGCGCATACATGCATATATGTGAGGTATATATATGTATCATCATTTGTGTGTGCGCACGAGGACGATAATTAATCTCTTCAGCTGCGCTGCGTCTCGCTTTGGACGCTGAGCTGTTTCAATTAATTTGAGGCATCCTGCTGGGTGACAGAAGCTGACTAAGTGAGAGCGAAAGAGAGGCGGAGAGCTTATATCGCTGCGAATGGAAATGTTTGAAACTATCAATTCGGCATCAACAGGCAACAGCAACTGTTCGGCTAATGAGCTTTATAATTACTGCACTTGTCCCAATTTAAACGCAGGTATGAACGCAGGGTTACCATGCGAACGCCCTTATTCTGAATTAAGTGAAAAGCATACCTGCGAATACATTTCTTAATTTGCTCCCGTCTCTTGTAGCGAAGTGTACAAAGTAGCGACCCGTCAAGTGTAATAAGACATGCCACAAACGTTAACCGCATGCGTCACACTTTTACAACAACTTAGGCGGGCTAGAAAATTGCTATAAAATTAGCAACTAGTTGAAGCATTTATGAGGCATATCCAACGATCTGATGGCCTGCTAAGTAGCTAATGGCGAGCTACAAGCAGAGAGTGAGAGAGAGAGAGAGAGAGAGACGGACAGCTGTCTACGTAGAGCTGGCGCAACAAAGTGAAGACGCATGCACCTGTCAGGTTGCTTTTAAGTGCCGCTGCCCATGCCGCTCTGTCATCGCCCTGTTTATGAGCCAACAACAGACAAGTTGACAGGCACAACTGTCGGGGAAGCGAGATAGAGAGTAAGCGAGTGGCTTTCCAGCAAAGAAACGAAGCACATGAGGTTATCCCGTTTACCTCTGCCTCAGCAACTGCCTCTGCAATGTGGCTATGCGGGTAGGTTGCGGCATGTAAATGGAGCAACTGCAACCGTGCGCACAGCAGCAGCAGCAAAACAATTGCAACAAGTACGAGTGCCTACTGCAAAACAACGGCCAAGTTCAGTCGCATAAATGCATAAGCCGGTGCACGCATATGCTGCATAGTCGAGACGCCATTCAAAGGGAGGGCGGGCTGGCAGGCGGGCACGCAGGCAGGCAGGCAATCAGGCATAGCCAACATGGCAAACACATGACTCTTCTGCTTTGAAGGCAGTCGCCCCTTAAAAGCCATTTTAATTAAAAGAACTGCGAGCTGCTGTAGCGCTCTGCCACGCCCATCTTAAATTTTACTCGTTTCTGGTTCGATTCGTGCGGCAAATGCAGCTGCTGCCAAAGTTGCCTCAGCGGCACACAATGTGTGCAGTTTATTTTTGGGGCACTTAACCGACTGGACGCCCTAGCCAGACTTAGGACTTAGGTTGTTGCTGTTGCTGCTGCTGTTGCTGCTCTTGACGTGCCGTAGCGAGAAACTTTTCGGTACTCTGGGGGAGCAAAATGTCGGCCCAGCAAACACATCCTGACACAAGTCAAGGAATTTATGAGCTGTAACAGTTACAAATGTGTGCAAGTGCTTGTGGGTGTGCGTGTGTGCGTGTGTGTTTGTGTGTGTGCGACTGGCTTTTGGCTTAATTGAAATTTAAACGCTTAGTTCCAGTGTCAGCTGTTAAGTCTTTTCCTTTGGCATTTTGAGCATGCAGCTCTTCATGAACTTGACAGTTGGCGAATTTCAATTCTTACCAAGCAATGCAAGCGAATATACGAGCGTATATGCATGTACTCTGGTCATGATTACGCCAGCTAAAACCAATAAAAGGCACAATATTTAACCCAATTAAGCCGCCAAACAAAGTTAACTTTATTCTCGGCAACGGTGATGTGGGCTGACAGGCACGCAAAGGGCCAGCAAAGTGCCAAAACCACCCAAACGCATACGTGTGAGTATGTGTGGGTTTTGGGCTGTGGCCTGGAATAGCCACAAGGTTCAGTGGTCGCCTCATCGCCATGACAACTTGGGTGGCC